CACATTGAAAGAAATAAACCAAAAAAAGGAGGGAAGAAAATTAAATGGCAGAATTTCGTTCCTTTTTAGTAAAAATTCTGCAATCAGCGTCCAACATTAACATTAAGGCCAGCCATAAGAAGCTTAAAATCACTTTCAACTTTCTTATTTTAGTTGCCATAACAACTTTTTTTTTCTTCCTTCATTCCTTTTGTGTAGGCATAAAACACTATGAATATGCCAGGGTTTCTTTTTTCTCATTTTCTATGCTTTATGATGATGATAAAAATGAAAGAAAAAATGGAAGAATTAAAAGTTTGCTTCCTAGTGAGCTAGGATCGAGTAATTAAAAAAGTCATAAATTATGGCAGCACATTTTTATTATGAATGAAAACTCGGCAAAAAAGTAAGAAACAAAATGAGCTTTCATGAATTTGTACATGATAAACAGAAGGAAGATTTAGTTGATGCCTTATTAGTTGGATTTTTCTTTCATGCCGACCCCAATTTTTATCCCATCCTGAAAATTTGCTTTATGATAAGGAAAAAAAAGAAAAATAATTGAAAAGTTTTCTTCTTCAACTTCTTAACTTTTAATTTTTGAGGCTATTTACATAACTCGTAAATCATGAGAAAAGTTAAACACACAAAAATAATTTACAGTCTGTCCTATTTGCTTGATTCTAGCAACACCAAACATTTATTACCTTGTTATTCAATTAAATTCGTTTTTCGTTAGTAAAATTGTTTTCTATTTATTTATTTTTGCTATTTTTCATTCTCAATGGAATGGCTGTGAATCAGATGTTAAAATTTGTTTGTGTCTACTTACTTTTGGATGTCTAAAATGGTTAAATGATTTGTATTTTTAAGGAAGAAAGATGATAATTTAATTACTGAAAAAGATGTAAGAAGGATTTGCTGGATATTTTGAATGGATCTACTTGAAATCTATGCTCGGAAACTAGGCGATATACCGCTAAATACCCCCAACTTCTATACAAATCCCCCAATTTCCCTCAAATACCACCTTTTTATATGAAATACCGCTAAATACAGCCTTTAAATAAACGCCTAGTTTCCGAGCCTTGTTTAAAATGATGCCTCTAAGATGATGGTATAGAGTGAAATCAAGTGCATCTTTCCATATGTACGTAAATCCGTCAGTATGTACATTCATACTAGTCTATGTGGTTGACGAAACATTTGAGTAATCTTGTCTTTTGTGAAGATGTGGGTTCGATTCCCATTAGTCAATCTTTACAAAATTGCATTTTATAGTGTCATTATAGGAATCTAGATTGCTAGTATCTCACGCTGGTTTCTTGAGCTCAAGGGCGTAGCCAGAAGGGTCTGGACTCTCAAATTTTTAAGAGAAGAGGCTCCAGACTCTCCTAGCTACACTTCTGCTAGACCTTTAAGGATACATCGAATTACTACAGATCGAAAACACTAGAATCCAAAACACCTTAGTACCTTAGCATCGATGATTGATCTTGAATAAGGTTCCAGAGCTGCCCAAGAAACCGACTTCATAGGCAAGAAAGTGGTGACTTGATACTGAATGTGGGATTATCTTCAAGAATTCGATTTCAAATGTAATGTTCAATATTGTGAAAAGAAGAAATAGTGGCACATGAAATTTCGATCAACTTCCTCAATTTTTATCCCCAAAATGTGATATCTTTCCAGACCAACAATAAATAAATAAATCTTGATAAAATTTCATTTATAATGGAAAAACCATTTAATATGTGAAAAAAAAACTTTAATGCCTCTGGATCTCATTAAAATTACAAGAAGGTGTATGCGATAAGCTGACAATAAATTCACAATCAAAATGTCTTTTTTTTTCTGGCTGCACAGAATCGAGGGTGATGGAATGAAGGAAATAAATAAATAAATTATGTTTTTTAATGTTTCATGTTGTCATATTACATATTTTATGTTGTACTTTATGCTGTCGCATTGAAAAGTATTCGAATTACGGAGAAATTTTGTGATTCTATGCAGCAATAGTTCGTTAAGTAATATTGCACATGTTTTAATGGAACCAGAACAACAATGAAGGAGAAAGAGTAACATAAATCTTAAGAATGGTTTTTGTTTCTTGTGTCTAGCAATTGTTGTTAATTGATGAACGTGAATTGTGAGTTTTTTTGGAATGAAATTCATAAATTAGGATCCATTTACTAATTAAATAATTATTGTAACAGAAGTTTTTTATGGATTGTGCGATGGAAATCTTGTTTGACGGGAGACGGGGATGGTTAAGAGATTTTTAACCTAAAATAAACCATTTTTTGTGAATTTGTTGAGTTTGTGGTGACTTTGTTGAATTTTTGGTAACTTTGTTGAGTTTGTGGTGAAGTTTTTGGAGTTTATGGTAACTTTGTTGAGTTTGTGGTGACTTTGTTGAGTTTGTGGTGAATTTATTGAGCTTGTGGTGACTTTGTTGAGTTTGTGGTGACTTTGTTGAATTTGTGGTGACTTTGTTGAGTTTGTGGTGAGTTTATTGAGTTTGTGGAGAATTTATTGAACTTGTGGTGACTTTGTTGAATTTGTGTATTTACTTATATTAATTTTTTCGTGAAATTTCGTCAAATCTTGGTGAATTGAAATTCCCAAAAAGGATTAACTATAACAATTCCATTAAAAATCACCAAAAAAAGCAGAAAAAAATTAAAAATGAAAAATGACATCATAAATAGTAAAGATTTATTAAAGAAACATTTAAAAATTCTCACTTTCTATTGCCTGTCCTCGCCCCTAATCATCACAGATGCACAACATCTTCCCCGTTAACATCATCACACGCTGCACATTTATGAAAAATGTTTGTCACTTGAAAAACGATTCATTTTAAAAATTTATGTGCGTCTGTTGTGCATTTTTATGCGTTTCAAATGACTTTTTTATGTTTTTAGAAAAATTCTCATGTAACATGTGATCTATTTTAAGGCTATAAGGGGATATACTTGATGCCGCGACATGTGTAATTAATGAAATTTAGTATTTTGAGTAATTAAAAGTGACTCAATGGATCCGAAATTGGATGAAAAATAGACTAGAATATTTTTTAATCCGACAACATTGTAAGCAGCATAACACTTTACTCAAAATATAGAAAACATTTGTAAACAAAGCGAAAGAAAATGTTTGAAAATTTTAAGACATGCTACATTGATATGAAAATTCCAGACATAATCTAGACACGTGTATGTGTTGGATCGTGTGAGTTTGAGTTAAGTAATTAAAATTTTAGCTGACTGATACAAGCTTGTTACATCTTTGACTGTCAATTGTGTTGCTTGAAACAGGAAGAGAGTTTGTGAATACATTGGACATGTGAATGACATCTACACACTTTTTAGAAGTCATAAAATTATTTAAAGTTATGAAAAATGCTCAAAAAATATTTTCCCAACTTTCCAAATGCACCAAAATCACTTGTTTTGATTTCATCAATTAGAATATTTTACTGACAATTTCCACTCTTTCCTCATATTTCATGTCAACAAAGATTTCATTCCATACACAATGTACAGCAATAAATTTGTATTTAAAACAATATTTTTCACTTTGATGCCGAAAAACATGAAAAATAAGAGAAAATGTAATAATTTTTTTTGGAAATGTGTCAACTATCGAGTTATGATAATCTCTTAATTTATTAGAAATGTGAGTGTTTTTCAGGAAAATTTGATGCTGCAGATGCAAAACAATTTAGAATGTCTCAAATAATTTAAAATGTTTTGATTTTGAGCACATTTGAAGACTTTGAGTTATGAATAATTTTAATAATTTTTGTTGAATTATTGAAAGAGACCAAGTATGAGTTTAATAAATTGATATGCTTGACGGATGTCCCCTACCTCTCCTAGAACATATTCAAAATTCTTGAACAGCGTTTTCATGAATTTTTGAGGTCCAACATTTTTAAGGTCCTAGTTTCTCCTGAAAAATCATATTTTTATTGAGATTGCTGTTGAACGAAGCAAACAGCAGCAACAACAAATTGGCGTATATCCACTTCATCAATACATCATCATCAGCATGATTGTTTATATCTTATTTTTGCTGACTCGATCTTTTTTTTCGATTCTATGCGTGCTTTGTACACACTTTTATGCAGAATTTCAAGTTTCTATTGTTGTTGCTGCTGCTATTTAATGACCTTGACACGAAGGAATGAAATATGCAAGATTGGAACTATTCTTAAATTGTTTGTAGTTGTTTGATGTAGTTGAACGTTTTTGATTAGTTTGATGATTTTTTTTGAAGAATTTGTTCGTTAAGTCCAGTGCTTGATCTTAGTTGTCTAGGATTGTTGCTCAGTTTGCTCAAATTGTTGCTCAGTTTGCTTAATTTGTTGCTCAGTCTGCTCAATTTGTTGCTCAGGCTGCTCAATCTTTGCTCAATATGTTGCTCAGTTTGCCCAAATTGTTGCTCAAGCTGCTCAATTTGCTCAAATTGCTGCCTAGTTCGCTAAAATAGTTGCTCAATTTGCTCAAATAGTTGCTCAATTTGTTACTCAGTTTGTTCAATTTATTGAGTTTATTCCTGAAAATTTGACTCAATTTTATCAAAAAAATTTCAATCCCACTCTAAAGTAGTTCACCAGCAAGCACCTGCTCCAATCTACAACTACATCATTTAAATGCGAATTTCTCGAATCAATAAAAAATAAAATTCAAATCAAGAACATCCAAATAAACAGCAGTGTAATATCCAAAAACTATTTCGATTATTTTTATAGCAGCCTTAATGACTTTTTATTCCGTTCCATTGTTTTATTTTTTCATTTATTTCCCGTGCATGTATATTCCATGTCTGGATTTAAGTCACAATGGAGATACCATTTTTTGTTGTTGGACATTCTGTTCTCACACTCTTTAGACTTGATTGTTGGTTCAATATCGCTAGAAAAATAAGGATTAGAAGTTTTTAATGGTATGCTTGAGATTTGGATAAGGGCTGACCGTAAAAAAATTAAAATTCAAAAAATAAACATCAATTTTTTATGTCACTGTCAATTTTAAAGCTTTATTCTAAATTAAATTCCATAAATATTCCCATAAATTTCTTTATTTTCGCCCACGACGTCCTCTAGATGCTGCCTTGCGACTAGCTGATGCACTTCGTGATCTTGAGCGACTTTTGGTTTTCCGAGTGGTTGATCGTTGTCGACTTTTGGATGGCTTAATGCTTTTAGATCGCTGAGTTTTGCTTCGTGTTCGAGATGCTGGTCTACGTCCACGACTTTTTGGTCGAGACTTTATCATTGTTGAGTTTGCAGGTGGAGTGAAATCTTCATCATCACTTGATAGTTTTGGAGATCTTCTGGGTATTGTATTTCTCCTGGTTGGAGCGTCAGCATCAAACATTTCAGGATACTGTTCCATAAATTCTTCATTCATGTCTGGCATTCGATAGGAGACTGATACAATGTCTCTTGGACTTTCTGAAGCAGTAACAATATTGTCAGATGATTGCAACTGGATTGGAATATGTGAATCAGCTGGAACAGATTCAAATTATTGAATAACTTAACAGAAAATTAAGTCAGTTCTACTTACGTTCAATAGAAATCGTTTCCATATCAGCAATTGGTAAGGATTCGCCAAAGCACATAACAAAATATATTTAATTCCTTAATCAAAACTTTAATGATCTGAACTCGTTGAAGAAGTTTCAATAAATGAGAAAAATTCAAGTTCTTTGGTTCCTGAGATGAAAAAAGTGAAGAATTGATTAATTGAGAATTTTCAAAAGTTTTTAAGATTCTTTGCAGATTTATCATAACTCATGTCCCACATTAGAGTTGGATTTTTGAGACTGAGCAGACTAAACACTGGATGTTGTTCATGCGCCTCAATCATAAAAATCCATATCACTCCCAAAACACAAAACACAAAGTCAGTTCTGGCACAGTTCTTTTAAAATAATAAACATGACTTAAAGCTGACAAGCCTCACACGCATATCAAATCACTGTCATGCTATTGACGTTCCTTGTAATTGAACTTTCAACTCACCTCAAAAACTGCAACAATGTCTATGTCTCAATTTATGGAAATTTATTTGCCATTGAGGAAGTTATTTGCTTTTTTTTCAATTATTCTCAAGTTCATGTCAAGAGCTGTTCGACAATTTTATTGGTGCTGTTAATACAATTTTAGAGAAGAAAATCAGGTTAAAGACGAAATGGAAGGTAAGGAAAGAATTTGTAAAGTTACTTACATTTTATGGATGGAAACGAGTTGGGAATTGAAGGGTTGGATGGAGTGCATTTTTATGGAATGACTTTGTTGCTTATTTGAGGCTTAGGCAATGTATTAGGCACAATTAAGCCATTCCTGTAACAAGAAAAATCTTTTGAAAATTCAGTAGGTTTCGAACCTTAGTCTTAGCATAAACTTTTCTTCAAACCACCCAATCAGCTTCATTCAGCCCCCTCAACCCCCAAACTATCCTTAAACACAGCTACAAAATTCCCACATACCTCAACAAAAGCAGGAACATTGAACATAAAAAAGTCGCGTCATTTTCAATCAATCGATCACACGAAATGAAAGGTAAATGGGAACCAAACAAAAGAAAGACCGAGCACATTGCGAATTGCATGAAAAATTGATGCATAAAATGAATGAATGGATTGAAACATTGTGCATACATTTTTGAATATTCATTATGATGAATAAATCCAATATATATTGCATCACGACATCGCGCAAATTTAACAAAAAAAAAGAGCTCTTTTTGTCTTGTCGTTTCTGCCATCCATTGAAATGCATTTTGTGCCTCGCGTGTGCATTGTGTATAAAAAATTATTGAGCGTTTGAGTGACTATAGTGAAATTTATGGATGTGACGCAGTTTTGAGGATGTACTAGGCCAGTGGTGTTCAACCTATTTTGTGGGATGACACCTTGGTGGTAAGTTATGATTAAAAACGCACACGGCAAACAGTTTGTTGCATTTTCTGAAATTTTTCACAGCACTCTAGTGTATCGTGGCACATGGGTTGTCCAGAATTTATTTCACAGAACTAAGCCAGACCTAGCAGTTTGCTTTAGTATTGATAGCTGAATAGTTTGCAATCCCAGCCAAGATCCCAAACAGCACGAACCCAAGACTATTCAATCTCATCCAAAAACCTTAACAATCACTGAAAACAGCAACAAAATTGTACTGCATTATTGTGAATAAATAACAGCGAGGAGATAGCTAGAAGTGAAGTGAGATTAAGCCAACAACAGAACACACAAAATACAATTGAAATGAATGTGATTGACAGGCTGTAATGATTTATCTTTAGCTGCAATGTATACACATTGTATTCATATTTAAATCGACTGCTTTCAATTGATATGATGAAGGCATAAAAATGTTGAAGGTTCAGTCCGACATTAGCATAGACAAAAGACTAGATAGATAAAGAAAGGGAGGCAAAAGGGAAGGATTAAGGCACACACATTAAAATTAAATGTGGGTGAGTCTAGCTATAAAAAGAATTCCTTTGTGTACGGAATTAATATGCACTGCAAGATCTCTCAATATGTGCCTCATTAAAAGTCTATTTGATGCATTTTATTGCATTATTCGCAAATCGTGATACACACAAATATTAGAATTTCCAAGGTCTCATCCAAACACTTTACTATTATTGTTATTTTTATTATTAGTTACATTATGTTTGCATTAGCGGCATGTTTAAAGCGTTTGATGTGTAAGCTATTGTTTGAGGCAAATCGGTTGGTATTGGCATGCACTTTGTCATATGTTGGTGAAGCTCTTTTGAGCAGGAACTGCGATAAGTTGGCTGAAAACTACTATCAAAGTGTTGTATGGACAATCCAAGACTTTGACGTTATTAAGGCAACTTAGCGCTTCCCTGTGCAGCTTCTACTATGCAACTCAAAGAGTTCACTTCCGGTAATAATAATGTGAGAGGATTCCAGCCAAGCGACGAGCTGGAGGCACTGCGATCCTGATCGATGATAGAATCTATTGTACCGTCCCCTGTGAATGAACTTTACTTCCGTATGTGCTTTATTAAATTTAGGAGTCAGTCACTAATGACGTGTAAGAAAGAGAGGGTCTGAATTTTTGTAATATTTTGAACCAGTGGCTTCTCAAACTATTTTAACCGCAGCATTATTAGACGAAGGAAGTTCTAAAATCTTCTTATTTGAAGGAACAATTCCTGACGATAAAGCATGTTCAAAAAAAAAATATTAGAGCAAGAAGAGCAGCTCAAATAATCAAATTTCATGTCACAGCTAATTTTGATGATTTATTCAAAAATAAAATCCATTAATTCATTAATTCCCATGTTTTTGTCATGTAGAGCTGGCATTCTCTTTGTTGTACGCTTGCGACTTTTGGCAGGCTCAGTGCTTATAGAATGCTGTTGTTGCTGAGTCTTAACTAGCGCTCGAGATGAAATTGTTCTCAGGTCAAGTGGTTGGTGATGTTCTTGTTTGGAATCCGGACTGGAATCATCACATGGATCAACATCCATTAAATTATCAGGTACTGATTTCACTTCCTGAGCTGGTTGTCGTTGTCGAAGAGAGTTGAAGAAGTTTTCAACTGAAAAATGGAAATAAATATTTAATTTTGAAGTTTTTCAGGAGTTTCGGAATTAAACATACGTTGAGTTGATGGTTCTTGGTATTTTGAAAAAGGATTAAAATCCATGATGCACTAATCAATTTAATTGCCTTGTCTTTTGGTTCAATAAACTTAACAGATCGAAAGTTCTTGATTGAATGAAAGAAATTCAAGATTTGCGGCAACTGCGATTGTAATTTAAAGCTTAAATATATTTTAAGTGACGAACCAGCTCGTAAAGCTTTATACTTTCAAATTAATACTGAGCAAAGCTTGGCCTATACACAAGACTTTGGATGGTACGGTGTGAATATATCCACAAGTTGGTTAATTGAATTGAAACCCAGCACCAAGCAGGCATGATTCTGGCATGGTGCTGGCTTCAATTTAAATCCAGCACCATTCCAGAGTCATACCTCCTTGGTGCAGGATTTCTGATTGATTAATCGACTTGTGTTATTTGGGGTTGTTTTAAAAATTGAACATTTTCCTTAAAATTGACGATTTGTGAGCCCTTAACTTGTCTCAGGGACAAAAAGGCACTTTATTGACTAGACTTGAAGGCTATCCAGTGTTTAGAGTTCATAAGAATTTTATAATCCTCGACAGGGATCGTCCATAGCTGTCATATCTCCTTTCTGCTTCACATTTGCTTTGTTAATTCCACATAAAAGCGTCCATTTCAATGCAATCCTTAACAATCTCCCAACTCATTCTCCTTTAAAGCTTAATTTTTCAAAAAAAAAGAAGAAAATGAAATATTTATTGTGTATAGATTGCAATTGATAGATAGAGAGCGGCAGTGTTAGACATTATGTGTATGCACACACAACATTTCATTGTTACCAAACATTTCAAGCCTTTTTTATGCAAGTGCATTTTAATGACAAATAATTTTAATTGAAATGCATTATTGCATCCACAGGCAAACGATGACAAATTTTTTTTTTGTATATTTTATTATTTTTTAATTTTCTATTGAAGCTTCATGACAATCCGCAATTATTCATTTATGGCTGAGATGAGTCAATAAATCAATAGCGAATAGATTATTCATACTCAAATTGGCATGTGCAATAAATAATTTTACAAAAATCGAATTCGGAATTCACTCGAGGTTCACTTGTAATGCAAACGAGACTGACCGAGTAGGAAATAAAGGAAGTAGAATATTGAATGTGTCATTAAAGTCATGATTCAGTGTGTGAAAATTGCTTTTGTTCTCAATTGAGATATGCAAATGATGATTAATTTGTTTTGAATAATTAAAGGTTTTCGGATTTTTAATTAAGTGCCTTTGGCAGGGAAAGGTTGCAAAGTGATGTGCTGATGGCGACTCTTGATGGAAAAGCTTCAACTTGATAGGAAAGGTTCAACTTTATGAAAATAGCTCAAATTGATAGAAAAGACTCAACTTGAGATAAATGGCTCAACTTGAGAGAAAATGCTCAACTTGAGAACGAATGCTCAACTTGAGAGAAAATGCTCAACTTGAGAGACAATGCTCAACTTGAGAGAAAATGCTCAACTTGAGAGAAAAGACTCAACTTGAGAGAAAAGACTCAACTTAAGAGAAAAGACTCAACTTGAGAGAAAAGACTCAACTTGAGATAAATGGCTCAACTTGAGATAAATGGCTTAACTTGAGATAAATGGCTCAACTTGCGAGAAATGGTTCAACTTTATGAAAAAGCTCAAATTGATAGAAAAGACTCAACTTGAGAGAAAATGCTCAACTGGAGAGAAAATGCTCAACTTGAGAGAGAATGTTCAACTTAAGAGAAAATGCTCAACTTGAGAGAAAATGCTCAACTTGAGAGAAAATTCTCAATTTGAGAGAAAATGTTCAACTTGAGAGAAAATGCTCAACTTGAGAGAAAATGCTCAACTTTACTAATTATACTCAATTTGAATGACTCGCTGCTTATTTATCTATAAAATCTGAAAGCACTAAACTCAACCAAATCCAGATTCGCAATAAAAATGCACTAACATTTGATTTATGTCTCAAAAATCTTACTTAATATTCATTGCCGACACTTTAACATCCAATAAATAATTTTCCTCACATCATCATTGAACAATTCCTCGATTCCTTTCAAATTTGCATAACAAAGGCGATGTTCTGCTGTCGTGAATACGATGATGATTATATCTTTAAAAATTTAATCGCTATTTTATTGTTATAGCTCATGTTGATGCTGTCATATTTGTAGATTAATTTATAAATATAGCTTGGATAAGTTTCAATTAATTGTGTAAATAAAATGGATTGCGACAAAGGGAATAGCTATGAATATTTCTAATGGAATGACATCTTAATCTATGGTTTGAATGTCTTTTTGACTGATTTGGTAACCTTTGGAGTCAATTTTATTGTTTATCCAACATTATGTGAGCTTACAAGCATGTAAATTTATACGTAGGAGGCATCAACCATTCACATGATCAACTCCTATAATCCATAGCTAGCTTCATGGCAAGAGAACATAAAATTAAGAAAAAATAAAAGCTTGTAATTAATGCTCAGCCATTGAATGATTTGCAGTCTATTAATTTAAAAATTTTCACAGCCGGCATGAAGTTTAAAGATGCAAGAAGCAGCTCGACTGCGTTGATGATGATCATTAAAATGATTTTGTTGCGTGAATTCTTTTAATTAATTTAAATCATCATAGCTGCTCATCGTTGCCTCACGCATTAAATATTTTATTGATTGAAATCACACCAAAATGCATTGCTGCATGTGTGCCTGTATATGTTCATTTTACAAGTCAATTAACGACATGACAAGAATGCACAGACACGAAAAAAAAAGTTGCAAATTTGTGTCAAATTTTTCCACGAAAAGTGCCAACATGGCACATGAAGTTGTTCGCGTCTCTCTTTTTTTCCATGCCAATTAACACTTTTTCTTCTTTCTCAAGTCGTTGACTATCTTTTGCATCAATTGAACATTGCCGCGCGACAACAGCAAATCAATTGACCTTCATTTCATTTTACTTCTGTTACTTGTTACTTGTTATTGCACTTACTAGCCGCGTTAATCGTTGTGTTGTGTCAATTTGCTTGCATTATTATTAACAACAAATTGTAACAGCACTTGTTGGCACTGCCAGAACTTGTTAGACAGATGATGCTGCTCAAAACTTGAACTTCATTACCAAATCTTATTTAATACTTCCAATAACAAGGAAATAATCCCAAAAACAGAAGCTTACAATAGCTCGTGCAGGAACACGCTCGCAGTAGCAATTTGTAGCTACAAAACCGACTGATCAGCACTAATGCGACACGATAAAATTGAAATTAACAAATAAATATTAAATAAATATACAAGATCGATATCTGATACAGCAACAGATCTGATCTGATCAGCGATATGACACTCGGGTCCATAAATGGCTAGGCTGGAGCAATAACGACAAGTACCAGCAGCAATCGATTAAAATAATTTCAATTTTTAATAGAAAAATAATCAACAAGCAAATTGAGTCAAGCGAAAGACTTGTGATGAATGTGGAAGGAGTTATGGAACTGTTAATTGCCAATAAATGTGCACATTGGAAATGCCAAACGAAATATTTGCATTTGCATTAATTTATGAATTTATTGTTTGTACTTAAAAAAAATCTCTTCCACATTTTGCCTGCTGCATGTGCTGCATATGACTTTATGCATAAATTTAATTCATATTTATTTGTTTAAAGTCATTAATCAAATTTTTAGTGAACAATTATTGAGAAGTTTTGAAGTTTTAAATTAAATTTTAATAGGCAGGCACTTGTTGGAGCTACTCGAGCTTAATCTGCATATTCGATCTTGTTTCATTTGTGCATTGCATGTCTTTAGCATGATTTTATCTGAATTTGCTAGTTTGTTGAGATTTTTGGGGTGCAAGGTGACCATAAATTGAGGATAATTTGGCAATATTAAGAGAATTGTGACTTGAAGTCAGCACAAGGGAGCCACAATCAACACCAATAAAATAGCTGTTAACTACAAATCCCCCGATTTGTGTTGAAAAATTCATTAATTTTTGTGTGATTTTCAACAAATTTTATTCTCAATTTACGCGAGTAAAATTCTCAATCATGCATGATTACTATTGCCATTATTATAATTACAGTGATCAGTTTAGACTTATGGCAAATAAATTACATTTAATTCAATTTCTACACCTACAATCCGAGTCTGAAAAATGAATCAAGCTGAATTTTTCATCTCCAACATTTGAGAATTATTAATGAAAAATTCATAGAAGTTTAGAGGCTGTGAGTAATTAAATGAATTGGATTTAAATCCGATTTGAAGGTTCTTTTGTAATAAATCATTTGTGGATTGGATGATGGGTGGGATATTGATTGGAAGCTTGTGAATATTAGAATTGACATTTAAGAGTTTAATTGTTGAATTTTTCAAAGATTTCAAGTGAAAATTCATCCAAAAGTTCTGATCAACTGACAGCAAATCTCTCAATCACATCCAACGCAATCTCAAATTTCAATAAGCTTCAATTTTTCCCACGCATTTTAAAAGAATCTCTAAGAACAAGAAAAGAATGCAATTTCAATCAATTGTGCGTTTGTCATCCGCATCACAATGCTGATCATTTATGGAAATTTAATCTCAAATCTCTTAAAATTCAATTCTTTTGTTCTGTTTGAAATTTATTTATGGACTGAGGACTTTTTAAATAATAGAACAAAAGAAAAAGAAGAAATTGCGCATTTATAAAAATACGCATTTTTTCATTAGAAATAAAAATCTGAAGTAAGTCGTCAGATTCCTGCATTAACAAATGCATAGAAATGAAAAATGTGCAATTAGAGTTGAGAAAAAAAGGGTTCATTAGCAAATGAATAATAGCAAAAACGTTGAGATTCCATCAGCGCATTTATAAAGCTCTCAGCGATATAATAATTCTTCTTTTATTAAATGCAAATAATGAAAATGATGACAGCTTTTGTGCATTTATCCGACATCTTAATGATGAGTCAGTTTGTAATGAAAAAAATTAATTTTTAATAGAAATAATAAAAATTTATGATTTAGAGTTCTGGGGCTAGTTTCAAGTGCAAATTGTAGATATATTTTCCTTAATTATTGGCTGGCTCTTGTGAGGAATCATCGAATCCTAACCTAACCATATCTACTATAAGGAACCACAGGTAGCCCTAGAAACCAGCTCCTAGATTTAAAGTATTTATTTTACATGTGACAACCATAAAAGCTGAAGCCAAATGAAGGGTTTAGTGTTATCTTTTAGGTTCTAAAGTTTTTGGAAGAGGGATGCTGTAGATCTCCCTATAACTGCCATATGTGTGTATACAAACGTAAAACAAATCGGGTTCGATGGGAATCGAACCCACGACCTCAAAAGAGGCGATCTCTGACCAGAGATCCCTGCCACTCGTCCACCGAGGTACTTATTTTCACTTTGGATATCCGTCATACATGTATAACCAGTTCAACGTGAGCCCTATGCTCAGGCCTATCTACTACAGATAAGATCTTCAAGCCATATCGACAGATGAATGCTTCTACATTAGTGTGACCATTCCTAGTGTCGAAAAAGAAGTGCAAGCGATAAAATTCACCATCCTTAAAGTTATTTCAGACAATTTGACAAATTTCTTAACATTCTCACATCAAACTCCTGCTTTCATGCATAAATAATTATGTAGAAAGTGCGTATATCCATTATATTCCCAACAAATACGTGAGTTCATTGCCTTCCATTTCCTTTTTGATCTTTTGTTCTAATCTTTTGATGCAAACACATTGCGAGATTTATTTACTTCTTTTAGACGACGTTTAAAGGCATTAAAATGAATAAGTATGAATGAAAATTCTGTTTGTGTGACTTCTTTAAGAGCTTTGTGAAGATATGAAAGAAATTTACAGCATTAAAATTACAAAAACATTAATTTTGAAGCATGTAAAGCCTGTAAAAGTTGAAAAATCCTTTCATATATAGAATCAACTGGAATTAGCTGTGCATGCTCTAAAACTTTTGCAATAATAATGCAGAACTTTGATATTTCATGCACAAATCGAGCTCAAGTTGATGTAATCCAGCACAAAAGGCTTTTAAAAAATGCATTAAAAAAATCTTTGATATTCATATCACTTTATTCCACGCATATTTTATATCCATTAGGTAGAATTTTGAGGAAGGCAGCACTGGGTGTCAATTTTGTCTAGAATGCTGATATGCACTATGAAAGTTCAACTTTAAAAGTTGCGTTCAAATCTCAAAACCAGAATAGCACAAGTTGGTTAATCGATCATAAATCCGGCACTAAGCATAAGTGACTATGACATGGTGCTTTATTTAAATCGAAGCCAGCATCATGCTAGATTCATGGCGGCTTCCGATTTCTATTCGATTAATCGACTTGTGGTATTCGAGAAATGCCACTCAAAACACCATTTTCAACATAAACCCTCAAATGCGCTCCATCCACAAGACTCTAATAACCTTCAAACTTGTCCCATTTTTAGTTTATCGTCAACATACATTTCCTGTACAAACATACTTGCCTTTTGTTCTCTTGACTACTGCTATTACGCACATTCTTTTCATTATGAATGCATTTATAGCCTGATCTACCTATGTGCTTCTACTTGCCGTATGCAGTGCCAATAATGGCAATAGAAAATGTAAAAGGGAACGTCATTTGCATACATATTAAAATTAATTGTTTGACATCCATCCGGGGAGAGAAATTTAAATTGCATAAAGCACACGGGCATGGATGTAAGTATTTTGTGACAATCGTTGTGTAATGTGGTTGGATGTGATGCAGATTGACTCATAGTAGAATTAAAAAACAATTTAAATTAAAATTTTGAAAAATGTGACTAGCTTAAAAAGCGCTTTAAAAGCTCCTTCCAGTACCCTCCCAAACTCGCTTAATTCCTCTTCTTCTTTCTTGCCTTTGGTAAGTCACGCATGCAATTTGTATAGCAACTTACTATTTCAATGCCTTACTTCATTTCTGTTCTCTTTCTCTCGCTTTCCTTCTATTCTATCAACATATATCCCATAAATGCATATTTACATTTATGTATGTGAACATGAAAGTATTGTAAAAATCATTCTACTAATGATGCTTATGTTGCAGTCGCTGCTGTTCAAAAAACTTCTTCCATGAATGATTATTGTTTGCATTGTACTTAAAAAGAAAATTCCTTCCTTTCTCCGTCATAAAAAATGCATAAATTTTTTATTTCCATTTGAAGAAATGTTAAATGAGGAAGCAAAAATCTCCTTTATGCACTTAAAATTCTCAAAGCCTTTTTTTCTCCCTTTTTTTTCGGTTTAAATCCTCATCAACATGCTGAGCTGGAATAAAAGTGGATGGAATAATCTTGAGGACATTTGCATTTAATGTTGAGGAAGAAAAATTCTCTCGTTGATTCCATACTTTTTTAGCATGAATTTGTGAATTTTTGTGGGGGGTGCTGTGAGGTTTTTGGATTGTCTGTAAAAAGATTTGGAGCTTTAGACCTTAGCTATGTGATATTTAGACATACCTTCTTACTTTATTAAGCTTTATGACTCTAAACAGAGCTTTTGGATAATAATATGGGTTCAGAAAACTGAAAACCATTAGGAATCGAACCCAAGAATCTTAAAAAGTGAGTCATTCGGTCTTGAACCTCTGCTATGAGTCTATCCTATTATTGACAAACTTCTATAGTGAATTTAGTTCGAAGGTGTTAACAAGGTGTCAAAAAAATTATTTGTGGTCTATGAAGTTTCCCGAGGAGCTCTATATAGTTAAGCAAAACTTAAAAGTATTTAAAACGGGACTTAGACCTTAACCTCGATCAGCTTTAAAATGTTCATTCGAATAAACAGTTAATAGTTAAATTTCAATCCCCATCCTTCACTTTATGGTAGAGACTTTTCTGCCCGCTTAGGTCAAGGACGACTAAGACCATCTCAAACCCACAACACCATAGAACCTGCTTATCCAGGCATTTCATACCATCAGTTCCTATTATGAATCACATTATAATGCACGAGCAAAAAGGAAATCTGAATCAGGCGAAACACAAGACGTCATATAGCGAAGTAGTAAAGAGTTATCACAGATGCTATGAAGGAAGTGCCTAAAGCGGGAGAAAAAAAATGCAAAAAGAAGAAAAGTATATTGAGGGGGGTTGTAGAAGCACTTTTAAGGAAATTGTTGTAAAGCAATCAACATTTTTTTTCTGCTGACTTTATGTTGATTTTAATCTTGAAAATGAAGAGAGTTGTAAAAAGAAGTAAAGTTTCTGTGTCTATCCATTGTACAAATTTTTTTTGATGATGCTTTTATCTAAATAGATTCAGTGATGTGAAAGTTTTCTGAGGCTTCTTCTTCCTTGTGTTGGAAAACATGTCGAATTTGATGGGTTAAAAATAGATTTTATGAGCGACAATGAGACGAGGGTGAGGCACCTCATAGACGCATGCTGAAAAATATCTAAAATGTAAATTTAGCTAGCCTTTTTCTAGGATTTACAGTAAATGCATCCAACAGCTTTTTTTATGTCCCTTCTATTTTGGCACATTCATCATCAAAACAAAATCCGTTCATTGCCTTTTTTGGCCTTCCTTTTTCCAGCCTTTCATTAAATCTCTAATACTTTACGGTCATAAATTTGTGTGTGCGATGCCATTTGCACACACAGAGAGAAGGAAAAAGTATCATTCACAATAACAATAACTCTTTTTTCCATCGGTTCCGATTGGAGATTTAAGGCATATGAACAATATATTACATAAAAAGTTGTGTAAATGTTGATAGATGGGATGCTTTTGGGCAAGTGGATAGAGCGCATTTTTAAAGTTCTTACTTGTTTCAAAATTCAACTGAAGAAACGCTCAGCTTGAGAAAGGTTCAACGTGAATAATGCTCAGCTGAAGGAACGCTCAGCTCAATAAATGTTCAGCTTGAATAATGCACAGCAAAAGGAACGCTCAGCTAGAGAGTGGTTGAGCTTGAATAATACTCAGCCGAAGGAACGCTCAGCTAGAGAGTGGTTGAGCTTGAATAATGCACAGCAGAAGGAGCGCTCTGCTTGTAAAAAGTTCAACTTGAATAATGCTCAGCTGAAGGAACGCTCAGCTCAAGAAATGTTCAGCTTGAATAATGCTCAGCTGAAGGAACGCTCAACTCAAGAAATGTTCAGCTTGAATAATGCTCAGTTGAAGGAACGCTCAGCTAGAGAGTGGTTGAGCTTGAATAATACTCAGCCGAAGAAACGCTCAGCTAGAGAAAGGTTCAGCTTGAATAATGCACAGCAGAAGGAACGCTCAGCTTGTAAAAAGTTCAACTTGAATAATGCTCAGCTCAAGAAATGTTCAGCTTGAATAATGCTCAGCTGAAGGAACGCTCAACTCATGAAATGTTCAGCTTGAATAATGCTCAGTTGAAGGAACGCTCAGCTAGAGAGTGGTTGAGCTTGAATAATACTCAGCTGAAGAAACGCTCAGCTAGAGAAAGGTTCAGCTTGAATAATGCACAGCAGAAGGAACGCTCAGCTTGTAAAAAGTTCAACTTGAATAATGCTCAGCTCAAGAAATGTTCAGCTTGAATAATGCTCAGCTGAAGGAACGCTCAGCTCAATAAATGTTCAGCATGAACAATGCTCAGCTGAAGAAACGCTCAGCTAGAGAGTGGTTGAGCTTGAATAATACTCAGCCGAAGAAACGCTCAGCTAGAGAAAGGTTCAGCTTGAATAATGCACAGCAGAAGGAACGCTCAGCTTGTAAAAAGTTCAACTTGAATAATGCTCAGCTCAAGAAATGTTCAGCTTGAATAATGCTCAGCTGAAGGAACGCTCAACTCATGAAATGTTCAGCTTGAATAATGCTCAGTTGAAGGAACGCTCAGCTAGAGAGTGGTTGAGCTTGAATAATACTCAGCCGAAGAAACGCTCAGCTAGAGAAAGGTTTAGCTTGAATAATGCTCAGCAGAAGAAACGCTCAGCTTGAGAAAGGTTCAACTTGAAAAATGCTCAGCTAAAGGAACGCTCAGCTCAAGAAATGTTCAGTTTGAATGCTCAGCTGAATTATATCTTGTTTTAAAACTTCTAGGGTCGATCTTAACTCATTGCTTCATTTTTCATATTTTATAAAATTGCCACCTAGCAATGCTTGAGTCACGACCTCTCTATGTTAATGATATGACTCTCATGGATCAAAATCAAGCCTATTTATCTTCTAAAATCAAGAATCGAGACACCTAGGACATTATCATGTCACCCAAAGTGATCCAAACCTCAATAAAACACATCAAAACCAAACATACAAAATTATGTTTGTAGTAATTCTAATGCAGGATGAATAAGTGCCTTTTGGCCTAAAACAGCATCAGAATCAGCAGCAGCAACCAGCAACAGCAAGAGATTGGAAAGATTTATTCAGAAAGGAAATGGTATTTGTGCCTGAAAGCGTTATTTTGCCATAATTCTTCTTATTAAAACTAAAAGCAAATTGGAACGGCTAAAAATGAAGATGATGACGATCGTTACATATGGGATAAATAAAATTGTAAGATGCATGAAAAGGGAATAGAGTAAGTGAGTATATTGTACCATTGTGAAATGAATGAAGATGAAGATGATTATGAAGAAGGAAAATTTTTTTTTTGCTATAGCTATAAATGGACATCTCTTTTACACACATTTCGTACATTTGTAACAATATACCCCCATTGGGAAATTATTTATGCGTTTTATCTACTTTTCTGTGTGCTACCGAGATACATGCTTCAAGTTTTATGTATAGTTGGCTGGAGTTATAGAGGATGTAACTAAAATACACATAATCATTTGGTAATAATCTTGTTGGGCTCTTTTCCCATTCATAGTTTTTATTTTGTAGCTGAATATTGTACTAAGTTTATCTATTTGCTCATATTTCTTGAATGAACAAGCTACGTTACTGAATGTGTGCTGATTGATACAAAAAGACCATTTCCAATTAATCACCTTTCCTAGCATCTTTCGCATCCCATTTCCAACCCATCACAGCAAATACTAGTTATATGATTTTAATATTAATATATCTCAGTATTTTTTCCCATAAAAACAATAAAGGAAACGCAGAATACAATGCGAGCGACCAAACGAACGAGAATATAAGCGATCCATACTGTAAAGTGTAGAAAAAAAGTCCATTTTTATCTATTCACATGCATATGGCCCATTATAAGACTATACTTAAATATGGGAATGAGAAAGCAACGCCAAAATTATGCTTTTTTTTGCTTCATTCTCATCCACAAATCTCTGATAGTCGCTTCCTCGTAAATTGCAAAGAAAAACAATATTGCGGCTAAAATAGCAGCATTTATATTTGCAATGGTGTTTTTATAGTACACAATGTGTGTACTTTATACTTATATTTATTTTCATTCTGCAGATATCAACATAACAATTTTCAAAAGCGATTGTTTGAGGAAGATTGGAAGTGAGATTTTTTTTCTTTCTCTCATTTTTCTTGTTGGTATAGTTTTCCATTAAGCATCAACAACAGAGGAGGCGAAATAACATAAAAAGCTATTAACTACCGTGGAGAATCAGAAGCTAGTAAGGAAATTGGAACTTTATTTGGGGTATTTGTAGCGAATTTATGGTAAAAATTTGCTATAAAGGAACTCTAAGTTTGAGGATCGCTCGGCTCGAGAAATGCTCAGCTTGAGAAACGCTCAGCTTGAGAAACGCTTAGCTTAAAAAACGCCTAGCTTGAGAAACGTTCAACTTGAAAAACGCTCAGCTTGAGAAACGCTTAGCTTGAGAAACGTTCAACTTAAGAAACGCTCAGCTTGAGAAATGCTCAGTTCGAGAAAAGCTCAGCTTGAGAAACGTTCAACTTAGGAAACGCCCAGCTTGAGAAACGCCTAGATTGAAAAACGCCTAGCTTGAGAAACGTTTACTTTGAAGAAGGTTCAGCTGAAAAATGCAAGAAATAACGCTCAGCTAGAGAAAAGCTTAGCTAAAAAACATTGACTTCAAATAATGTTTAGCTACATTAAGAGCATTAATCGAGAACCAAACCGACAAACTATCTCTCCAACCGCACATCCTTTCAAAACTTCAGCTTATAAAGCATTTAAGATAAAATAAGCAAGTTGAGTAAAGGAGGAAAAGCAAACAAAGTCAAATCACTTTTGGTCAGATCGCCATAGAGATTTCAATTGTTGTGTTTAAAAGCACAACATAATCCTATAACCATAATAATAGTAATAATATTGAGAATATAAAGATAAGCTATTGATGCTTCACTTACTACTCGCTTCTGTTTTCTGTGGGACTTTATTTTGCATGAAAAGAAAGTGCATATTTTTATAGTTATTGATAGGTTTTGTGAGATACGGGGAGTTTATGGATGTTGAAGAAATTTTAGGATTTTGAGGTTAGAAAATTTATAATTTTCAAATTCGAGGTTAGAATTTTTTATGATGAAAAGGGGAAATCTAATGATTTTGAGGTTATATTGACTCTTGTTTCATGATTATACTCGATTAGATGTCTAGCTCTATTTTAAATGCGCTTCATCCTTCGAAGTCATCAACAAATCTCTCAAACTTTCCCTCATAACTTCTTGATCATAACCTTTCCTATCAGTTTCGACCTCCTCACTATATTTTAACGTTCCATACCTTATTCGATATTTTATTATGATGATAATGATTTAGATATCATGAATAATGTGGATTTAACGAGCCAATGGACTACTTTATGTGACACTTTTCTTTCATCATAAAGTCTCCACTGCTTATTTTTATATTATTGAATGAACATTAAAGAAATGAGCAAAGAAGAAGAAGAAGAAGAAAAAATTTTTTTTATGACTAATATTGAACAGCTTCGTGTAACATAAACGTGTAATTTTCATCACACGAGCTCCACTAATCGAATAAAATAATTTTTATATCTAGTCAGCGACGTGCTAAAATTTTGCTTCACACTAATAATGACTTACATTAATGACATATTATTGTTTCATCATTAAAAAAAATTGAAATAAAAAATTCACTCGTCGCAAAATAATTCTGCAATGTCTAATATGCTCGGTGCTTTGATATATGCGAAATTTTATTTTCACTTCGGGTGCAATTATGGATTATTTGAAGCATAAATGTTAAATGTTGTGCAATATAAAAGTGAAATAATTGAATGCAATGCTAATAATGATGCTGACATTTTGTAGATTTGCCGTTAGTTTGGATTATGCTGAGGAATTTTCTGTGATGAAAGTTTTTGCTAGGAAATCATTCTTTTATGGTAGAAAGAGGTGTAGCCATCGGGGGTCCTTATCCATAACCTACTTCAAAAATCCTAGCCACGACTCTGATGCCAGACTTATAGCAAAAAAATGCTTTAGACATCCAGAAAAGAAAAATCATACAAGCTTCCATAAATTCAAGCCACCATTACAGATTTTAATCTTAAATACAGATGCCCGCATGCATAATTAAATAAATTCTAAAAATTACAGTGAACCTAATTATCATGTTGTAAATATCAATTAAGGCTTCAAGCAATGCGTATGCAGAACATTCTACATTTTTTCTTACCTTTCCAATAATTCAATTAAATTTAATTAATAACAATAATCTCATGCAACTTTGTAGCATTAACAATTCCAGTGACTGAGTAAAAGATAAGTAAAGGTGAAAATGCACAAGAGAATATGTTGAAAGATAATAGATCGACATTACTTTGGATATACAGCTATGTTGTTAGGTCTTATGCTAGATCAAGATAATAGCATATCCGTGCATACACACACAATCCAATATTCACAATAATTCCGCTCAGCTATCGATATGTGCTGTTGCACTCAACAAAAATCTTTAAATTTCTATCTCGATGCTCAATTTCTTCATTTGCACATACTCATTCATTTAATTTTTACCACAGATCGGAATAAGCGCACCTTTCTTTTCCAACGAAATATGTACATGCTTTATTGACGGCTTATAATTAGCGCCTCTGACTGTATGCATAAAATGTGTACATATCTGCGTATCTGCATCTTTCTGTAGATTATATTTTTTTACCGAGAATTATTATTTTTTTGCTTAATTATTTTTAATTGAAAAAGAAACATGAAAACATTTAATTATCATTTATTATCCTCAACATACTCAACGCCTTAGTTGATTTTCATTATGTGTTGGATTTATTTGAGTGATGTGGTGAGACAAGGGTGTGGATAAGTCAACCCCTCCTACTCGATGGAATGTTTCATTACTTTGTTCCTAGTACACCTCATCCCCCCCCCCCCCCCTCCCTCTCCTAAATTATAGGTTCATTCCGAAAAATTCAACAATGTCCTTTGATCGATCATCTTTGTAACAT